CGCCTGCTGTATGCGTGTGGGATGTTGGTCGCTCATCCTGAACGGCACCAAGACTCACTTTATCAGCAGTCCTGCAGGATCCGTTGAAGGTTGATTTATTTCAATTAAGATAATACTCAGGAATGATAACAGAAGGAAAACCATCAATTAAGGTCATTTAGGGCTTTGGTGCTTCTCTCCTTTTGCTGTGCCATGTGCTCGATGGCCAAGCCGGTCACCATCGCCGGTCATTTACACCTGTCCCCTCCCATCTAGCTACACCTCAGACAGTGCAGTCCATGCAGCAGCACTGGTCATGACTAACATGGAGTACAGCGGCACAGTAATCTGGAGGCCATGCCAGCACATCAGCGGGCGTGTGGCAGCGTACGGGACGCTGGGACACTCGCCCAGTCACCACGCTGAATGTTTATGGACTGTAGGAGGGAATCCATGCAGACGGGGGGAGGACATGCGGATGGGGGGAGGACATGCGGAATGCACAGACACAGAACAATATAACAACAAACGGTGAACAATGTATGAAGCGTACTGGCAGACAGCGAATGGGGCGGGTAGCTGATATCGCTGTCGTTAAGCGAGATTAATGAGCGGATATTAGTGAAGGTCTGTGACTCTGTGGCCTTTGTGGAAATTATGGTTCTTGCTGGATTTCCATCTCCCAGCTGCCCTCTCTCACCCCTGTCATCTCACACCTCTCACATGCCCCCCCCCCCCGCAGTGTTTGTGAAGTTTAACTCCAGTGACGGGTTCCCGGTGGAGCTGGCTGAGAGTGCGAGGGTGGTCCAGCTGAAGGAGGCGGTGGGTCAGGAGTGTGGCGTCCTACCCCAACAACTGCGGGTCATCTTCGCGGGCCGGGAGCTACATAACGACTGCACCCTCCAGGTAAACCCCCCCGCCCCCCCCCCAGCTCGGTAACCTGGAAGAAATTAGCAGATGTTACCAGAGTGGAAGCTGCTGTTAAATGCAGCGAATTCAGCTTCAGTAATTAATTTCTCCCAGGCTTTTGTTGACTGGAGGATTTAGTTTGAAGGTTTGATGCAGCGTGCAGATCTGACTTACGCTGTCTGACGTCCCCTAGTGTGCATGTGCCATTCTGCATGCTCAGGGGGGGGTGCCCCCATCTTCGGCGGTCCCTGTCGCCCCACCAAGTCTCATGCTTGTGGCCGCGTTTCTCCATCCAACCTACACATGACGTCCTGTTTCCCCCGAAGTTGATGCCGTAAACAGAGCCTGGGGATTCTGTGAACTTTACTCCACATCGCTTCATTAATTTTGACCTTCTTAATTATGCATTAAAAGGGCCCAGACTCCTAGGTAGGGAAGACGAGGATGTGGGGGGGGGGGGGGTTACACACTTCCTGGCTCCTGCAAGCCGCCCACTTTCACTCGCCGCACTCTCTGTGGTGCCATGCTCAATTTCCCCCCCGACAAATTGCACTTGAGACCCTGGCCATGTGTGGGACTTAGCAGTTAGCTGTACTGTTTATATGTTGGGGGTAAGCCTGGAGTGGCTCAACTCTGCCCCCTAGAGCACAACTATGTTATTGCTCCAGCTTCATTGTGAACATGAGGCAAGAAAAACAAGTAGTTGGTCTCTTCAATCAGCTGGTTTTCATATGTCAGGTGGCTCCACCAAGTGCCACATCGTGCACAGGGATAGGCCGTCCTGTTTTGGGTCATGGATCAATGACTATTATAATAAAGGTCAAGATTCTTATCCGCTGTGCCACTCTCTAGCCCACATATAGCTGAACACTGACTGTTCAGTTATTTTTAATTTATATTATTATATGTTTTAATAGCATTGTGGGCTATCAAGCAGGTGCCATGGGAGGAGGGGGATTGTTTATTCAGCAGTTAGGGAGATTTTCTGGAAAAATCTGGACAGAACCTTATTTTAAAAAGTCGCACACATATTTTATCATTAATTGAAGGCGTCCCCCGGGAGCCTGGTGAGAAGGCCACTATAAGATGATTATGCGGATGGTAGGTGGGCCGCGCCACAGCCGGCCAGAGCAGAACCTAATGGGTCGCTACGGAGGTGACTAGTTCCACTCAAGCTGATGGCGATGGAGCTGCAGAAACCCTCAGCCTTTCATGGGCCTCCGTGAACCCGGCGAGTCATTTCAGAGTTAGCCAGTCACCATTCCTCCTCCCCTTAACGTGTCCGAGAGTCCGGTCTCCCCATTTGTCACGTAATGCTGGATGTCAGCGGTCCGAGGTCAGCCTGCCTCCAGAATGTCACTCTGCTGGGTAGTACCAGTCCCGGTCAGTCCTATATCCAACATAGGCAGCTGCCTAGGGCGACTTCTGAGGGGGCAGCGATTTGCCGGTGATGCTCGCCTGGGGTGCTGCGTCGGCTGGGACTGTTACCGCCTGTTAATCCTTCCTCTCGGATCCCCTCTGGGGAATCCCACCATTTCTTGCCCGCCCCTATAAATTGGGCTGCAGGCAGTCAGTGGACTGGAGTCCCATAGCAACAGAGCAACAGGAGGGAGATTGGGAGCAGGTGTGGGGATGTGAGTGACACCATTCCCCCCCCCCAGCCCCCACAGGTCACAGACAGCTGGGGTTCTGGGACGGCCCCGGGTTACGTCGGGTCAGACGGACCGAAATGGGAATTTCCAAAATAAAAGTGTTGCTTTGTGGTAAATGTGAGGTGTGCAGAAGTACGATAAATCAGGAATTAAGGAACGTTCCCCAAGAGACTCGCTTCCTGAGGTGTGAGTTTCGCTGATAATGGCATTGTGTGACAGCTGGATTGAGTCCCTGGGGAACGCGAATCTGTCTGTCTGATAATGCTCGTGGACTTGGGCGTCCAAACTGCACAAGTCACAGGTCGCGTTATGCAAATGTGGCGTGGGCAAGGATTCCGGCTATTTCTGTGATGTATGCTATCAGCGTTTGTGTCAGGCCTGTTGGTGGCTGTGTCTCTCCACACTAACCACATAGGGCAAGGCATTAAGTTGAGTTCTGGGCAATTTGATTGGTCGGCAACTCCCCGCAGTTTGAGCCATATGACAGATTTAACAGGTAATCGATAACTGCATAGCTCTCAAGCTCTCACAATGATTGGCTCTTCGACGGGGTGTGGCCACAACCTTCAACCAGTCATCTTTGGGTGCTGCTGCCTGGGAATCCTCAGCATCCCCTCACCCCGTGGTTCCCCGGTACGCCTCGAGGATTCACTATTCCCAGGGGGAGAGCGGCAAGGGAGTTTGTACTTGTTTTGCGTGTCACTTCCTGTGAGGCTGCCTGAGGCACAGCTTCACAAGTTCCCGCCCGGACCCCTGGGCCGACTGTGTCCCTGCCGCACGTCAACACTCAACCCCAGGGACCCCCCCCCCCACTCCGTTACTGCAGCAGGTCCCATCTCATGATTATTAATCTCCTTCTGAGTAATTAATCAATTTAGCTGGTGAAATACGCTATACCGGCACATCTTAATAGCGTTATCTCATTTTAAATGCCCGCGTGCTCTGTTTGCATGCCAGGCGTACAGATGATTGATTACTTTGTTGACTTATTGGAATTCTGGCTCAGTTCCGGGTTTTGGATTTAATTCATTACGGGACGAGATCATCCTCAGGACGGTCCAGGCTCTTCAAAGCACCACTCAAATACCGAAAGGGCAGACGTGTGCTGCGTCAGTACACCCCCCCCCCCAAGATGCTGGGATTTGACATCTCACTCAGGGGCCAAACTAACCCTTTCCCTGCCCCCCATTTGAGGGTGTGGCACAAGGGCAGGACACAGCCGGAGTTCGAGTGCGGTTTTTCTGACCATCTCGAATGCACGCAGGTTCTTGGCTGCGTTGACTCTGATATGGCGGAGACCGGGTACCGTGTGACCGGCAGCTCCGAAACGGCAAACTCACCTGGGATGCTATCTCCGGTAACCCGGACGACGCGGGGCGGCAGCGTGAGGCTGTGTCCGTAAGGGTGAGCCAGTGCGGAACCAGTTAAGATGACAGGCAGGGCCGTAATGGCAGAACGGTAATCTGTGCCGGGATGCCTCTGGCGATACGGCCCCCTAATATCGCGCCCGAGACGCTGCTCAGATCATTTCCAGTCGCCAGCGTCTCACATTCTGTCATAGGTCATTTCCCTGGCTGTCTGTTTGCCTGCCGCCACCCCATTCATCAGAATGGCTGCCAGCGATTACGGGTCCCTGACTTATTACTGCTGCTGCATCCTGAGACACTCCATCTCCCTGGATCTGCACCCAGCACGGCGTGCTCCCCGGGAAGGACAGATTAAACGCGCGCGTGTGCCGAAACGTGGAGCCAGACCATGTGACCTCTGTTTCTTTTGGACCTCCTTTTCTTGGGGAGCCTCTCTCTGTCCCTCCTTCTCGCTCTCTCCCGCTGTCTCTCTCCCTCTACGCACGGAGGCCCTTGGTCTAACGATGACCTCTTTCTAATAAACTAAAAGGGACACGGTATTTGAAGCCCTTCATTTGCATTGCATAAAAATAACTCGGGAAATGGATCCTGATAAACAGCCCTGCATATTAAAAATGACCTGGAGGAGCAGGCAGACGCTGAGTAAGGCGCGCCGTGCGAGGAGAGCCTGCTGGGGGGGCGGGGGGGTGGGGGGGATTATCCACCTGAGAAAGGGGGTGGTTTAAGGACGGGACAGGATGCAGTAAGTCTGTTGCGACTTCTCACAACCAGGGCCAGTAAGACGGCTTCGCTGGTGGGACGTGGGGCAGGAGGTGGGGTTAACCAGACCTCCTGACCGCTTAGAGTAGCTACTTAGGCCAGTTTGGCTTTTTACAAGAAGGATCATAGTGGTTAAGTCAGAATGGAATTTGCTTCACATCCATCTTTAAATGTGAATCGGCCGATAATGAAAAATCTTAGAGTAAGTAAATTAAACTGCATGACTCAGGTGTTGGTAGTGTAACTTGTTTTCTGGTACTTTCCACAGCCCTGGCTCCTCTCCCTTTATTTGGCTGTAATCTGTCATACTTTGGGTTGTCCAGTCCGTTTGCCCTTTGGGTCCTGGTGGTCTCATTCATTCATTCATTTATTTGTTTGTTTATCTTCCAAGTTGGCACCCCCCCCACCCCACCCCAGCACGACCACCCCTCGCTGTCCGGCTCGGCTCCTGCTCAGTGCCAGTCAGCTTTTTTTTTTCTCAGTTCTCATGAATTATTTAATTAGCAGTTAATAACCTACACACTTTATAACCACGAGCTCCGCGTTCCAGTGAACCGGAGTAGCGTGTTTTGCCAAAACAGGGAGCAATAATTTGCAGCCGTCAATTAGGCATTACGATTTCAAATGTCATATCATAATTACAGAGCCGTTTATTAATTAACATTAGAAAATGTGCAGGTAGGTGGGCCCTGCAGGGCATGTGAGGCCCTGGTATTACACGGCGTTCAGTCCGAGCCCCCCATCCGCTGTCGGGGGAGGGTATCTCACGTGGTTCCCCGGCTGCTCTGGCCCTCCATTAATAACCATGCAGATTCCATGTTGGACGTCTGATTTTGAGCATGAGCGGCTTCTCTCCACGGTCACGTGTTCAGGTTAAGGTTCTCAGATGTGGTGCTCAGCAGCACCACAGCTTTATGATGTCATCGCCTCTGAGCGGCAGCCGGCGCCCCCTGGTGGGAGCACGCTGATCTCTATATGTCTGCGTGTGCGGGTTTGAGCACAAGCATCTTACTGGTGTGTGTTTTCTGGTAGAGCTATGACCTCCCGGAGCAGAGCACGGTCCACGTGGTGCTGCCCACGTCCGGCCCAGCCCGTCGGCGCGAGGTCTTCTTGCAGAGTCAGCTGAGGGGCACTGCAGACAGCCTGACCCGTCTGGACCTGAGTGAGGCCCGGCTGCCCACAGCCTGCACCGGGCTGGCCAGCATCCTGAGGACAGAGAATGGCGGAGAGGCGGGTTCAGCCCCCTTCCCAGGTACCTGTGTGTGTGTGTGTGTGTGTGTGTCCACATTATCTGGTCCAGTGCTGCGTTGCCCAATGCCCAGTAGCCAGTTCTTTTTCCCACCATCATAATCGTCGGATACAATGCAGGCCACAGTCTCCCGAAGGCCATGCCGCATTCCCAGTGCCGCATCCCAGCGCATGGAGATGCACCTTTTAAAAACGCCCTCTGCGCACCCTTCCGCTGTCACCCCAGAGGCCCCCGTCCCACTCACCGCTCACTCATTGGGGCCGCAGCCTGTCCTTTATGTGACCCCCCCCGCCGTGCTGCCATCTCTCCTCTCCTTTAAATGTATCAGCATAATGGAACCCCTTCCATAGAAATGATGAATTAGACGGAGGGTTATAAAATCTACTTGGCTGGATTTATTGTGGATCGTGTCAAAGTATCACGGTTCTCTCCTCTGTCCCAGGCTTTTAGCTCTAATGAGTGCGCTAAAGCCACCCCCCTCCAGTGTCATCCCCCCCCTCCGCGTGGCTGCCAGTTTCACTGCCCCTGGCACGATAACGGAAGGATGCCTCTCCCCCCGACTTAATTATCTGTCATAGAGGTGTCCAGCCGTCCCGCTGTCCTCAAGCTCCTTTCGGATAATTGGAGCTGGTGTCTGTCCCCGCCGATCCCACCCCTCCCTCTGGGGCTCATCCTCGCCCCCAGTCCCATCCAGACCTGCCACCCACCAGCCACATCCGGTCTGTCTGTCCGTGGAGGATTCCTCCGGAGCGGGATGGCGTGCGGCTCCATTCCCTGAAAGTGTGCTTTCCACTGTCAGCTCTCCTTCTCTGTCTTTCTGTCCCTCTCTCGCCCTTACACACACACACACACATGCACAAACACACAAACACACACACACACACTCACACACAGACATTGTTTTATTTGCTGTTAAGCTCTCATTTGGCCGTGGCTCACTCGGGTCCATGTCCCTGCCGGTATCAGATATCCCGGCTCCCGCCGCCTCACGGCCTCCCCGCAAATTGAAAAGGTACATTCGGATAGCGAGGGATATCAGAGAGGCCTCTGGGGGATAGGGGGCGCCGCTCACAGCCTCGCCCAGCGTCCGTGATGTGTCCGTGGCTATTCCCCTGTATTACTGTGCCGTGAGTCAGCCTGCATCTGGCTGCGTGGCCATGCAGTGGTGTGGATACTGGTTGAGAGCATTGCTCTGTACCACTGCCTGACGATCTGTGGATTGTTTCCCTTTGTGTACAGAGTCCAGGCCACACTGCAGCTTTTATGTGTTCTGCAAGAGCCCATGTGGAGCCATCAGGCCCGGGAAGCTGCGGGTACGGTGTCGGACCTGCCTGCAGGGGACGCTGACGCTGAGCCGGGTCAGTACCGCTGCCTCCCTGGTGCCGTGCACTTTGCAGGCCTGATTAATCGATTCCCCCATTCCCCCTCCCATGAACAATTAAGACTAGGGCCCTAGGATCAGGTGCTTGGGACAGTGTGTGTGGTGTGCGGTCAGCTGGGAATGTGCCCCCCCCACCCCGAGCGATCTGAGGGCTCAGGTTCTTGACTTACCCGGCTCTTTCCGTGTTGACCCAGCCATCCCATCCTACCTGTTGGGCTTCTTTTCCTCGCACCATGAACCTGGGTTCCGTTTCCTAGGTGACTGCTGGCATATGCGGCTGCTCCACCCCCACCCTCCCCACGCTCTGCCTGCTGCTGACCCTCCAAGTGCCAGTCAGCCGCTATCATGCGCAGCGCAGGCTCTCCCCCCTAATGTGTGTCGCTAAGCTGCCAGCAACTGCTCCTGAGGGCCTCCTGATCCGGGATCCCAAAACTCAGCCATCCATTGGTGGGGGGGCAGACCTCTTCAGCTCCTCGGCATGACTGCGGGAGATGGGGACACGAGTGGAGCCCCAGACGATTTGAGGTGTCCATGACAAGCATAGAACGCGTGCTGAGATTACATCACCACTCCGGGCCAATTAGCAGCAGGGGGAGCTGCGGACGGCTGGGCGAGAATCAAACCGCAGATGGCCGGGCAGGCGGGTTGGGGTACCTATGGGAGATACGATACACAGGTACACTGACAGACAGACCGACTGACATGGACAGTGACACTGACAAACACTCAGATACACACAGCGACACTGACAAACACGCAGATACACACAGTGACTGACAAACACGCAGATACACACAGCGACACTGACAAACACTCAGATACACACAGTGACACTGACAAACACTCAGATACACACAGCGACACTGAAAAACACTCAGATACACACAGCGACACTGACAAACACGCGGATACACACAGCGACACTGACAAACACACGGATGCACACAGCGACACTGACAAACACTCAGATACACACAGCGACACTGACAAACACGCGGATACACACAGCGACACTGACAAACAC